TTGTCTTTTTTTTTTTTTGTTTTTTATCAGACAATCAATGAGTAAAAAAAAAAACAAAAAAAAAACGAAAGAAATAAGAATATCCAATCGAACAAATCGATTCAATTGCATCTTGATTTCGAAAACAAGATCCAATCCAATCGATTTGTTCCATTGGATTTTTTTTTTCTCCTCCTCTTCCTCCTCCTCCGGGTCCTCCGAGTCCTCCTCCGAGTCCTCCTCCTCCTCGACATCCTCCCCGTCCTCCCCGACATCGTCCTCCTTCTCCTCCCCGACCTCCTCCTCCTACTCCTAATCTTCCTCCTCCTCGTCGACATCCTCCCCCTCCTCCTCGACATCTTCCTCCTCCTCCTCTGCCTCCTCCTCCTCCTCCTCCTCCTCCTCCTCCTCCTCCTCGTCGACATCCTCCTCCTCCCCTGAGTCCTCCTCCTCCTCGACATCCTTCCCCTCCTCCCCGACATCGTCCTCGACATCCTCATCCTCCTCCTCGACATCCTTCCCCTCCTCCCCGACATCATCCTCGACATCCTCCTCCTCCTCGTCCGCCTTTTTTTTTTTTTTTTTGTCAAACAATCCATCACTAAAAAAAGAAAAAAATAACGGAGCAGGAGGACGAGGAGGCAGAGGACGAGGAGGAGGAGGAGGATGTCGGGGAGGAGGGGGAGGATGTTGACGAGCAGGAGGAAGATTAGGAGGAGGAGGAGGATGTCGACGAGGAGGAGGAGGAGGAGGAGGAGGAGGATGTCGGGGAGGAGGAGGAGGTCGTGGAGGCGGGTTAGGTGGGAAGAGGAGAGAGACCTCACATGGAGGAGGCCAGGTGCAGACAGTAGCGGCAGCGGCGGCATGGGTACCGAAGTCTTCAGCGGCAGCGGCGGTAGTGGCAGGCGCTATGTCTCCAGCGGCAGCGGCAGCAGTGGTAAGGGCAGAGGGACACAACGTCACGGTGTCGAATGGCACAGGCGACATCGACTCCCTCACTAAATGGGCGCGTGCAAAAAAAAAAGAGATAACTTCGGCGCAGTCACGAAAACAGTTTGTAATTGCACTTCAGGCAATCCCGCGAATATAACACACCCCCATGAGACCGCACCGGACCTGAAACGTAGGTCATATACATTCAGCATTACCGGCCCTTTTGCCTCAAGTGCCATTACAAACTCAAACCCTGACTGCGCCGTAGTTTTCTCAAAAAAAAAAAAAAAAAACTACGGGGGAGTCAGTGTTTGAGTTGGTAACAGGGCTTGGGGAAAAAAGGTCGGTAATGGTGAATTAGCGTCAGACCCACGTTTCGGGTCCGGCGTGGTCCCGGGGCGGGGGGTTGTGGGGGGGGGGGCACCTCTTGTAACGACAGGATTGTCCGAAGTGCGATTACAAAGTGTTTTTCTGGCTGCGCCGAACTGACCCAAAAAAAAAAGCAGTGCCGGACCTTTTTTTCCATTGTCGTTTCTCGCCACGCCACGCCAGCGGTTGTTGTTCGCCCCTTGCTCCTACGGCGTAGCGCAACTAATAAGGTTGGCAGGTGGCTTTCAGGACGTCTCGATTTCAATCTCCATTGGCCCCAGTCTGATGAAGTTCACCATGTTCTACGCCACTTCCCACTTGTCGACGACCACGACAAAACGTCCATATACATCTAAGGTAGTCAAAATTGGGACGCCGACACAAAAACTGAGAGGAAAAAAATCCCTTTAGTAGGGGCCAAATAACACCACAAAAACACGCATTGTTGCAGCACCGGCCCGCAATACGAAACCATGTTGGATACGTGTTGATTCATGTTGGAGGCCCGTACGAAACCATGTTGGAACGCATGTTCGACGTGTTGAAAACAAGTTGGTCATGTTGATAAGTGGTTGAACACAGTACAAGACCCACGTTCAACAGTTGGTCAGAGCCCAGGCGTGCAAAGTTGGACAGCGGTACGAAAACAAGTTGGAACTCGGCGACAATTTTTCTGTTGCTTTTTTTCGCTCAGTCGATTGAACAATTAATCAATCAATCAGCCAAAACTAACTTTCGCAAATCCAGCACTTGTTCTTCTTAAGACCTTCTGGGGGGCACTCTTACCCTCATTATGATAGTAGTAGTAGATTGTCGCGCACAGGTCAGTGATGACCGCTTTCGGGGGGCAGAGGCCCAATTAGCCGGATTCTACATTTCTGACCGTAGATTAGTAAGATCGACGGCCGCAATGAAGAATCCGGGCAAGTCGGGACTTGGGGCCATGGCCTGTATCTCTCTCACTCCGATTCTTTGTTTCCATGGTCCCTGCGCATAAAATGATTTGAAAAAACAGAGGAGATAGAAGAAAAAAAAAAATTAGTCTATGGGACCAGGATGCCATCTCGTTGTGTGTGTGTGTGTGTGTGTGTGTGTGTGTGTGTGTGTGTGTGTGTGTGTGTGT